TAATACTGACATCAGTGCCCAATCCATTATCCTCTGAATTAAGAGGACCATAGTGACACCAGTGAGTTGTTTGACCTCACATGGCTGAGCCCTAGTCAGTGAGAGAAGGTATAGAGAAAATGGTCAAGCGTAAAAAAAAAAGAAAAAGAAAGGAAAAGAAGCTTAGATTAAAACGCAGGAAAGACAAATCAGTGGTGAAGGCAAAGAGGCAGAGAGGAGTGTGGTTCATGGATAGTGTTAAAGAAAGCAACTATTGGGTGGCAGAAGGAGTGGGGATGATCTGGATGGTACAGCAAGCACCAGAATGAAGTTCTACATGAAGCTTTGGTGCAAAATATCTTGTCATTTTTACTAACTGTAAGAAGAAGTTGAAGCTGCACTTCACTTTCCATACAGTCATTGCAATGATTAATAATAGAGGTTGGGTGGCTGTGGGTGCAAGGATGAAGTATCATAGATCAAATTTCAGCTACATCCAATTTTCTGGCAAAGGAAGGTGGTGGCTGTTGGGCTGGGCCTGGCCAGCAGCTGAGCACCCACACTACCGCTCTCCCCATCCCTCCACCCCCAGCAGGATGAGGGAAAGAATATGAAGCACAAAATCAAAATTCAGGAGTTGAGCTGCAGACAGTTTAATAGGTGAAGGGAAGAGAAAAAAAATCCCAAACAAATAACAGGCCAGAAATCACTTATTATCTCCCACAAGTAGATCAGTGTCCAGCCAGTCTCTGAGCAACAGTCACCAAAGAAGTCAATCCCCTTCCATCTTTTTCTGCTCCCTCACTTTGCATTGCCATACACAACACCACATGATATAGAATATCCCTTCAGGTGAGTTGCCCCACCTGTGCTCTCTCCCATTCATTATCTTGTCTAGCCCCAGCCTACTCACTGTGGGGCAGAGTGGGAAAGAGAGAAAGCCCTGATGCTGTGCAAGTTCATTCCATCCCAGCCAGACTTAGTGCCATGTGCAGTTCTGCAGTACTCAAGCAAGGCAAGCAGAGCAGGTCCAGTGCCAGCCAGCAGCCAGTGGCTGCCAGACAGCTGTGATGGGCAACACAGCTTCAGCATCATTCCAGGAAGTCCTCAGTGGGTCAGGGTTATTTCAGCAAGGTGCACAGCCAGGCACAGGTAAGAAACTTCAGGCAATAGCCAAGGGCAAGGCCATCAAGTCACGATTTGTTACCGTGGCTGAGGACATGCATGTAATTTCCCTTTTTCTCTCCCAAACCTGCACACCATTATGGTGGACTGGTACATTACCAGCAAACTGACGAGTAATATCAGATGACTCTGATCTTTACCAGCTAAGTCACCTTGAAATCACTGGTCAGTGAGAATAGGCAGTGACACAGAACACTTCTTCAATAGACAGATTTTTTATTTAGCCACAGGAGTACAGTAAGGGGAAAATAATGTACTTGTTGCACCATCCACAGCTTTGCCAGTTTTCCTAAGTGCTTTGGTAGATCCAACTTTAAAACCTCTTTGCACTTCATCTCTCTCGTACTGTATCATACATCTAGCTGCCGCCTTTGAAAATCACAGGCTGATCAAACTGGTTTATGAGCAGCAGTGGATCTGGTAACCTTAGAGGAAGCCATAAGGGCAGGATATTCAGAAGACTTCAGAGGACTTGCTTTTGGACCCTGGATGCCTCACATCTTTTAAAAGAGGCAGAAAGGATCCTGAAACCATCACAAGATTTCAACAAAAATTTTTATGGAAATGTCAAGGCAACCAATTATTCAGGATTGACAGAATAAATGTAAGCTCTTTCGTTCAAAGAAATGTCATCAATCTGAGATATCAGTAGCATTACTTTATAAGTGCACTTTATAAACGTCCCAAATCAATATTTAATCTGTGTGAATCCAGGGATCATAGCACCTTCTGTATCAAAGATTGCCAGACTAAAAATGATGGCAAGTTATGGGGCTGTGAAGGAGGAAGCATACCCTTGTGTGACTCATAGGAGTCCGGGGTGGGAGAAATCTGTCCTCGAGATGTTGGGACGCAGCAAATGACAGCGGGGCCTTTGGCAGAAGGTTTAGAGACCTTCTGCACTGAGCAGAGCAGGAAGAATGAATCATTAAAAAGAACCTGTAAATCATGAAGATAAAACAGAGATTCCCAGAATGGATGTAATTCCCAAAGAATATAATCTGCTTAATGGAGAAAATGTGCACTCCAGCACACGTCTGTGTACACAGATGAATATCCATTGACCAGATTAAACACTCTTCAGTAAGTTTATTCATAGAACTAGCTGAAGCCAGCTCAGATTTTATACATTCTAATACTTTTAGATATGGTTCCTGTATACCTTTGAGAAAAATAGAAGCCAAAAGATCAGCACAGGAAGTTCTCTGCCTTATCTACTATTTCTTTCTCACTTGGAGGTCCATTCTGTGTTCATATGAAAGCCTTCAGGGTGGTACTGTTTCTGCTTGAAATAACTAGGTTTGGCTTACTGGTTCCCAGGGCTTGCAAGAGGAAAGGATGGAAGGACAGGGCAAGCCTCAGCTGTATTACAGTGCACTTGTGGCCCATCCTGACCTTGCATTCCCTGCTGCAGAGCCCAGAGGAAGGAAACAGCACCGTCAGGGATGACTGATGACAGGGGAAGGCATTTGCTGTCCTCACTAAAAGGATCAAGTTCCAATAAGCAGCCTCCAGAGGAGATATGAAGATAGATTTACTCCTCCACTCCCCCACAGGGACTTCTCATGGTGGCTCGAGGCCCCTCTTTGACTGCGCTGTGATGACAGGGCACAGCTGAGACCCCATTAGCATCATTCCTGCTTTGAAACATTGGAACCAGCAAATCCCACTGACCACTGACAGACAAGCAGCTCTGAACAGGGTCAGGCTCATAAACCTCTAGGAACGACTGGAAGTAAAATATTCCAAATAGGAACAATAAGTATGTGTGGTAGGCACGAAGGCACAGAGCCCAGACTTCATTAAGGTAGCTTTTATATTTTGAAAAGCAATATTAAGAAACACTGGAAAATGCAAGATAAACACAACAGTTGCTTCTACAAGTTTTAACCTTGTATTGCTTGGCCATTTTGACATATAAATTATTGCTTACTAGCTCTCATAAATACACGACACAATAATAGGTACAGAGGCAAACAAGCATAAAATATGCAAAGGAAAACATTGGCAACACTGATTCTGGCAAATCAGATTACTTCACACATACCAGGTCTCATAATGGTGGATAACTACTAGCTGTAGTCCCTGAGAAGTCAGGTGAATACCTTGGTTTGGGGGGTTCTATTTTATTACTTTTAATGCAAGCTGACACCATTACGGCACTCAGAGAGAACAGGCGGGTGTTCTTACCTCAGCTCATTGACTTCATCCCAGTGTTTAACAGTGTATAAGATGACAATAAATAGGCTATGCAAATAAATATTACTCTGCTAAAATGTTTAGTATTTACATCTTTCTTTGTAGTTTTACAGCAGCACAGGTCTTTATTTCTAGTTATTATTTCTGATAACACCCTTTTTTTTGCCACTGCTATGCAAATGAAATTTATTACTAGCCAAGACGGTGCTGGAATCAACAAGCTGTGTCATACAAACATCTAAATTTGTTGCGACAAAATCCCACATCAAAGAGGTATAAAGTGACATAGCTCCTTCCTTTGTTATGTGTAATTGATCCTCCTAGCTACTAAAAAAAAAAAAAAGAAAAAGCAGAGTATTTAAGCCCAGGTGTGACTGTGATAAACTGAATTTACAATATTTATTAGATTTTATCCTACGTAACCTAACTGCACTATTGAAGGATGTAAAAAAACCCATAAATCACATAATATCACCAGTGCTGGACCCTAGCAGAGGCTGTATAGTATTACCCTTCCCTTTCACAGGGCTTACTTATAGTTCTTCTCCCAACCACCACACCTTCCAACTGCTTGCCAGTCTGCAGCAGAGCTCTGCAGACAAAATCCTGTTGAATGAAGTCTCTGAAGGGCCTCTTTTTAAATTAGACATATTAGCTACAGGTTAAGGCCATTTGCCTTTCTTTTATGGTAGCAGTTATAAGGTCCGTATTTTCAGCGTGAAGTCGATGCAGCCTTGTTGGACCCTGAGACCAGAAATTTATATCCAAGTTATACAGGCCACGATAAAAACTAGGTTTTAAAGTTATAAACAGGAGTCTAATTAGCTAATTAGTAGTCTAACATAGATAACAAGGTTGATTCTGGCTCTATGCCTTCAAACTGATTTTATGCCAGCTGCAAGGGGCAGAGAACACCTGATTTAGTGTGAAATGACAGTGGTGCAGACAGCCAACACCTCAGCTGGCTCCAAGTGTATTGGTACAAGTTATCCCTTGACTTCATTTTGAACTGGCAGAGTGAGGAGCCTTCAAGGTCACTCTAGCAGGCTTTCAAATGCAAGCCGCAGCACGGAGTCATTGTTATTTCCTCCCCCCACCCCTTCTTTTGTTTCCTTGTCTTTTATTCTTCTCTGGCATCGCTGTTGCTTCATCAGCAGTAACTACCCAAAACTATCACAGAGCCAAATGCAGTGAACTGAGAAACAGCGTCACTTTCGCACCCTGAATACCTTCTAATCCTCCCTCTCCCACAGATTTCAGGAGAACAATTTGCGGACCAAAGAGTTACACCATATTAGCCGAAGCATGGTCTACATACAGGCTCCTAAAAATAATACCACAGTAAAAAAAAAAAATTCACAAGGGGGAGCTCAAAACCCAGGAAACCATCCAGGTAATGCAGTTAGGGTGGGAATTCCGAGTGCTGCATCCCGAGGAAGAACTGCAGTAACACAAGCAACAAATTGTATCCGGTTTTTGTTCTTACGCTGCAAAAAGGAGCCCACCACAGCTAGTATCTTCATCTGAACGGTTTTGGTCTGTTTGCACTAAAGAGTTAGTTACAATATGTGCAGTCACATCTACAGAAGAACATAGGAAATTTTTACTCCGTGGCCAGCAAGAGTTTATTTTTTTTCTTTTTACTGGGTATAAAGAAGATTTTTTTTCTTAAAAAAAAACAAAACGAAAACAAAAACAACCATATAGCATTTGATAATAACAAAGTACAAGCAAATACATTTCTGAAACATCTGTTTCCTTTACAATAGATCTATACAATATTTCACAGAGGGGAAAACTGAATGCATTCTACAGATTCCCCCCCAGACTACTTGTTAAAGCTGCTTCTTTTAAATCCCTTTAAACCAGAGATAACACAATGATGAAGAGCATGCTGCTTCAGTATTCCCACATTTTAGTAAATGAGCATTTTCTTGGAAGTCTTCCTCATGTGGAAAACATACAATAGAGATGGGTGAGCGATGCTATGTACCCCCCCTGCTCTGCAAAAGGACTGTTGCCGTGAGTCAGTGCCAAACATGTGCCAGACCCTGGAGCACTCTGCACATTGCCTGCAGCATTCACTGGATTATTTCAGGGCAACTTCTTAGCACTGAAAACCAGAGCTATGGTTATGGTGGTGCTCGAGAGGTAGATCAGCTGTAGACAACACTTGAGAAATGCTGCCTCAGGACATGCCCAGATGTAGTACTTGTAGCTACATGAGAATTGCATAGGGGAAGGGTGTGAGAGGAACAAAAGCAGTAAAGGGACCCTGATGCTGAGAGCTCGGTGTGTATGCAGGTAATTACAGTGGTACCCTGTAAGGTGCACATTTTTGTTCTTTAAAAACTAGAAGCATGTGCAGGTTAGGTGAAGTTTTACCTGCTGGAAGGGTATCTCCCAGAGATGAGTTAGGAATATAGGTGGGTCTAGGCATTGCCTCTGAATAGACACCGAGGAGGCTGTAATCCAAGCAGAAAACAAAGCTTCTGCTCTAATAATTCGTAACATGTTAACTGCAGGACCCGGTGCTAAATCTGAGATAACTGAAAAGGAAGAAAATAACATGTTTTCAGTATACAAATAATCGTGTCCATGAACTGCGACAAAAGTGGATTGGTTCTTACAGTGTGGATGAACAGGTTCTTAAAGGGACCGTAACAGCATGAACTGTTTACTGCTGACACACTCTTGAGTTTCATCCGGTTGTGCTACCTTGTTATATTCCCATCCTTGGTTGTTTGCACTTATCTCAAATACAATGCTCCAGTGGACTCAGAAGAACTGCAGAGACTGCACATTATTTTTGGCAACAATACTTCGGCAGCCTTGAATTAGTGAGGTACATATGTGGTGAACTGGGAATCAATCCCCTGGCGGCATGTTGCTCGCTGAAACGCTTTGCTGCTGTGACACGATGATTCCTTTCATCCTAATACTGGCAGAATCTGCATTGAAAGCTACACTGGACCCAACAATATTTTCACAGAAACCAAGCTCCTGAGTTCAAAGGACGCTGCTCCACTCCCTCACGTCCCAGTGACCAGTGGGAATGGCACCAAGCTTGCCCTGCAACTCTGTGAGCAGCTCCTTTGCTGGCTCTTGCCTGATTTTCCTGCGCACGTTGTGCAAGCTACGGATAAAACTCGGTAAACTGTTCTTATAAAGGGAAGCAACGCGCTTGGCTTAAACATTCACTTAATTCGAAGTGCTGCAGTTACAAGGTTATATGAAGCTGTGTACGCTCACGCTCGTGGCTCTATCCCGTGAGAAAGCTCAAACAGAGCTTGCTGGTTGTCGATGACATGCAGGTGATGGACATACGGCTTCAGCTCATGATGCTCTTTCGAAGGAACTTCAATGCCTGCAAGACAGGAGAAAGGGGATGGATCAGAAAGCTGTGCCTTACCTGCTTCTCTGTCCTGTGTTACAAAGTCACTGGTGTGCCACGTCAGGTGCTAGACAATCATGAGAAAGACACACAGTAATCCAAAGGACTTGCTGTTGAAGTGCAGTGTATGAGGTAACAGCTTGGTAGAGAGAAGGGGAGAAACAAGAAATAGGCAATGCTGGGCAGCCAGCACACACAAAGGAGTGGACAGCACAAAGTGGACAGCAAGAAGCTGACTCTTCCCAACAGGAAGACTTACTCCTGCTGACAGTACAGGCAGTCCATTCTCTGTTAAGGGTGGTTCAAGGTTTCCTTTGTGCTGCTCTTGCAGCACAACAGGGCCTTGAGCATGGGTGGGCAAACCAGACTGTAACTTTTAAATAATCTTAGCACAAGTTTAGAAGACACCAGGCCTTGGACGAGTGTCTCCAGAGCCGGTGAAAGGTGACAGTGCAGCAGATGGATACGAAAGCTCTTCAAAGCTGCTCTGACAGGCTCCCACATTTTGATCTGTTATGCTTTTGATTTCTGATCTAGTAACAGAGACAAGAGTCATGCTGTCATTTTGTGGGAGTTTACACAGTAAGAGGAATTAGCTGTGTAACAGACAAATTGAAGGGTGGCTGCAATAGCAGATATTCTCTGTTATAAGTTTTATGCCCATCACGGCCTTGTGAGAACTCGTCGTCTGTGAAACGCTCCACCATGGCTGGTACTAGCAGAAGCGTAAAAGGAAAAACTAAGCCCATGGCCACGAGATCCATTGAGACAGGCAGAGAAAGCAACACTAACGACTGTTGACAGACGAGCAAAGGTTGGAAAGCTCGCTTCTAGTCCGTGTCCTCAAGGAATTTTTAATATTACCATAAATGGACAAAGAAAACGCCTCAAAATTCCCTGAACCAATCAGCTTAACTCACACATTCCCTCCTTCTCCTTTGTTTTATTATCATCCTTTTCTCCACACTCTCCAGCTATACGAGGTTGCCAGGAATGAACCATCCCTCTTGTTTCTGGAGATGGCTGCGTGATGCTGTGTGGGTAACACGGGCTGTGAATGCAGCCAGTTCTGCAGGTGGCTGCTAATGAGGTTCCTGGGCAACTATTTTAAAGAGCTGTTTTGGAGCAGCCATCTAACTTGAGCAATATCAGAGAGAACAGGACAATGTGATAAATCCGTGTCAGAATACAGAAATGACCTTTTTGCTCTAAAAGGGAAAGGGATCTCAGCAGCTGTGCTGAACATACTAAAAAACAATTGTATTTCTCATTAACACCTCAGATGACAAAAGCTTGAATTCTATTATTTTCTAGGGCTGTTTTTCCTCACTTTTGAAATGCTATGATTTGTTTTCAGCATTTAGGACATAAACGTGTTATTTCCATTAAAAAGGCATTTCAGTCTCACTTGGAACCTAACCAGTTTCTAATCCAGAAACACTCTGGCCTACAAGCTTAACACACATGATAAAGATCATAAACAATAATAATATTCCTTGCTTAGTTTTGTTTGAATTCTTTCCTACAGTGAGATGCCTGCTGCTCTTAGGCAAATCTGGGAATTGATGCAGTAGAAAGACTCACATTTCCGAGAGCAAAATAAGCCCACTAGAAAAGGAAACTGTCCATAAAGGCTCAATAAATATTCAGTGAATTAATTTTATGCCTAAATGAATTTAAGAAAAAAAAAAGTGCCTACAGGGATGTCTGTATAAGCTGCTTTTTAAATGCCAGCTTCACAAGAAATCAAGTCTGCGGTAAAACAAAATAACAATCACGTACTTCAAACTAGCAGATTACATGGTAATTCTCAGGTATTAACCTTGGATTTATGCTGTAAGACTTAGAAAACCACTTGGAAAAAGAAAAGGCAAAAATGAGATGAAAGATATGCAGAGAAGGTGCAAAAAACCCCTCACATCACTAGAAGGAACCAGTACTACATTTATAGTGCCAAATTAAAAATATTTTAATTTACAGGCGTGGTTTGGATTAACCAATATTTCCTTCATTATCTGAAAAAAAAAAAAAAAAAAGGCTCAAGGCACAGCTTGTTCCTTCTCTCCCTCTCTTATACATATATCTCAAAATAATACAGGAACCATAATTCTCCAAGGTACCTGTATTTATACAAAAAATTATTATTATTCTTTTCACTGGAGTCCATGCTGACAGCTGTTGAAAATTCATCTGGAGAAAAAAAGAAGATTTAGACTATATTTTCCCCAAGGCTGCAGCACAGTTCTGAACTTCTCTTTGAAAAAGAGGTTTTAGTGACCTCAATAAATAACATGTTTGGCTTAAGGGTTTGGCTTAAAAACTAACCACTTCCTAAAGTAGTGTTGGTTTTGTCCCCTTCCTGTATTTAACCTCTCTGCAGAGAATAAGAAACACCGAGAAGGAGAAACGGAGGTTTCTCCTCTGTGAGCAGTAGAACAAAGCAAGCTGGGTTCTTCTGACTTGGTCCCTTAGGGTTGGGTTCTCTGGAGGCTAACAAGGCAGAAACAAAACAACCAACCAACCAACCAACCAAACAAAAAGAAGTCTTCGGTGCAGCTGAGGCACTCACAACTGTTCCCATCAGTGTCTAAAGCAGGCAGATCTTTATTTGCAGCTTCCCCTAGCACAGGCACTAACACAACAGCTCCCTTTCCTTTCTACTCTAGTTTCGTGAAACTCACAGAATCTTCATACCTTCAAGACTTGTACAGTTTTGTGAAATGAGGTTAGGAACCCAAAATAAGCAAACAGTTCTTGGTGAAAAGCCGAGTGAAAAGCTGTGGTGATTAATGCCATCTTTTAGCTACTGGAAGCCAAGACAGCTGTGAATCCATTACCAAAACACACAGACTGGCAGGAGATTGAGTTAACTTGGTCATGGCTGGGAAAGGGAGAAACAGCAGCATACACCAGAGGCCTCCATTATTAAGTACAGCTGGCACAGATCTTACACAGGGTTTTGAAGAGGTGGTAATTTTTGTAGGAAAATAATTCATTAAAGTTTGGAAGCTGTTTCTACAAACACTTTGTTAAGTAAAATTTCATCCATTTCTGTTATGCTGACCTTCCAATAGTTATGCCCTCTCTTGCGAATTCCTTAAATAATTGTTGTCCACATTTTGCTGCTGCAGGAAACTGAAAAGAAAACAGGGAGAGGAAGAAATGCCAACACACACACAAAAAAAAGAAAAAAAAAATCCCAACAAACCCTCAAGGCCATACAAATGCAAAATAAGTAGGGAATTTTGGCTACTCACCAAATTGGTTATTTCTGCAATGTCTCAATGCCCAAACAGTATCTGCAATCATGTGCTGCAAAGAAAATACAAAAAACATCAGTGAGAAAACCTGAGACAGATTCTCTCATTAGAAAAAACTGAAAAAATCTCCTTGCCCTACACTCTGCAGCAAAAAGCAACTGTAGTAAGGTAGAAAATGGAGACAGCAGGAAAAACTTTGCTCTTTATCTCAGTGATACCATTTGATGAAATAGGGTTAGTCTAGGTGAGTTCTTGGTATCACACAGATTAAATGAGAACAACTCCCTGAGAGCCTATGGGAAGTGGTAATGGAAAATAATCAAACAACTGCTCATTTTTGTTCCAGTGACTTTTATTAAACTGAAAGCCTACAGCAAGGAAGTCCTGAGGACTGGCTGAGTGCTCAGAGCTCAACCCCAGCTTTAGTGCGTTATCCAGGATATTCTGTAGTCTGCAACCTCTCCTTCTGTCTCCACATGTTGTATAATTAGACTCTCTTTGTGGCACAGACTACACTCCTTGGCATATACTTGTATAATGCCTAGCACAATCAGGTACCAGTATCAGCTAGGCAGTTTTCTGCAGTATAACCAGCACAGAAAAAAGCAGCCCATAACCTAAATGCTGCAGAGCGAGCACCCTGACATCCTCACAGGCATGGACGAGTAAGACTCTCCTGCAGGCATGCTATTTTAACAAAAGCTGGTGCTAACAGGGATACTGGATGTTCACTTAGATGACGCGGAAGAAATAAAGGGTTTAAGTCCAGTTTGTCATTCAGGCTCAGGTCTTCAACTTACAAAAACTGGGATTGTTCACTACAAATCAGCGGAGCGAGCTCATTTTCACTAGATACTACCCATAAAGTTCTTAAACCCTTACTTTTCTTAATTTCACTGCTTCTGTGGCAACTCTTCACCAAATCTAGTAATTAACTGAAGCAAACTGCAGTTAGCAGGAATGATCTGATGGCTCATGCAAACAGCTAATGCTCTTCTCTCATCTCCCTCAAAAATGATCAGAGGTGGAAAGGATTAACTCTCTTGAGCAGAGGACGTTTAAGACCAGAATGATGCAGAACACCTCGTCTCTCGACCCCCTGGGAGAGGTTTACAAGGCTTCTCCACAGAAAAGCTTATCACAAGAGCACCTTTAATGGAAACTTCATATTCCTTTCATCAGTGAATCAAAATAATTTTTCTTGTTACCCACTGTGCTTCATTTGCCATGAAATCATGCAATCTCTCGTGCTGATGTCCTTGCACTGTTTATAATGAAGTTCTGATGAGATGACCTAGATTTCCTGATCAATAGAGTGAGTACTGAGAGCGCTACAACTTCCATCAGTGCTGCTATTGTGATCTTTTCCAGCTGATACCCTTTGCATTTGGATTTTAGAAGTAAGAGAGGCCCCCCTATCACACACACTGTAACTTCTTGCTGTTTCTTCTTTGTAGTCAGTCAGTGTTAGGGTCCATCCCAAGACTGCCTTCTGGAAATGATGCTCTGGTAAGAGAAGAACCTCTTTGTGGAACACTTCAAGCAGAATCCCAAATCTCCTGGCTTTAGTAGCCTCATTAGGAATTTCTCTCTGTTTTCAGCTCTCTGGGATCCAAAAGTGATACAGAAAATCAGCCAATGTATCTGCAAAGCAAATGCTATCTCCTCACCGTTTAAACAGGTGCGTGCATACTGTTAGTGTGATGAATAACACACGTCTTCTGGCCTTTCAGCCTACCAGCTGAAATAAACCTAGGATTATTAGCACACCTTTAAGTGGAGACAGCAAAAACTCAGGCTTGGGGGTTGCACAGATACTCGGGGGGTGGGGGTTGAGAACCCTCAGCTGCAGTACACAGTCCTTACAGACGAAGGCACCAGGTAAGCTGGCGCTATGGAAAAGAGTAATGGCCACTGACCTGTATTAGAGTTTGCTGAAGTGGGGGTAAGACTGTCATTGCTAAGATATGGCTGGTGGCTGACTGGAGGGAAAAACCTGAAGAAACCACCTTTCAGTGAAGCAGCTCAGAAAAGATCACGAAAATACCTTGAGATGTAACAGCATAAGACCGTATTTTCATTTCTTCCTTCAGATTCAGTTGAAGAAGTAAGTACGGTACTAAAAATCAATCTAATGCTACTGTAGACTAGATTTTACCCAAAATGGAGTTAAATAAGCCACTGCAATCCCTTCACTTTTCGCTAAAGCTAGGTAACATTCCTGAGACAAGAGATCATTTCATTTTCTTCTCTTTGCAAATTCCCTTCTTTATATTTTGAATTAACTTTGTCTCCACTGCAATCACATCATGTCAAATCAAATTCAGTCGCGGTAGGATTGTTGAGGTCTAAGAATATAAAAGAAGCAGGCAGGGACCGTAGGGAGAAATAAGATCTTTTATTAAACCAACTAACATAGTTGGAAAAAATAATGGTTCAAACTGACAAGTCCTCCTTCAGACGAGGTGTTTAACGCAAAAATGAAATATTTCAAAACAGTGATCCAAATGGAGACACGACAAACGACCTTCGCATTGATATTCATAAGTAGAAATTCTACTCATTTATAACAGTGAGTAAGATCCTTCCCCAAAGCGGTAATCTGCTATGGTAGAATAATTCTTTTTTTCTTTTTCTGCAACAGCAAATCTGCAGGTGAGGTTCAGTGGCTTGATCCAAACCCAGCAGGAGTCAATGTCAATCCTAACTTTTCTCAGCAAAGGCCAGGAAGTGCTCGACGCTTCAGTGTTCAGCGCAGAACACCAAGGAAGACATTGTTCTTTGGGACAAAGCCCTTATAATTAGAAAAGAAACATGGCCTGATGTGTATGTGATCATGTGTGATGCATCTTGTTAGTTCATGCCCACTGACTAAATCCTTTAACATTCAAACGAGCCAGTGTAATAGCAGTGTACTGCCTGAGTTTCCACTAAACTGATATTTAAATCTCTCCTAAGCCCCTACTTCCTAAGCTTGCACTATTGCCTGCATTCATATGTACACAGGGCTGCATGAGACAGCTTGGTTTCTGAGAGCGTGACCTGACTACTAATTTGGAGGAAGTGTCAATCTGAATAACCCTTACCCTACGACCATCACCTCAGACTCTCCCCCCCCTGCCATTTAAAATGCCCATTATCCATTTGAATGGAAAAGGTGAAATCCTGGCTCACTGAAGTCAATTAGCAAAGCTCCCACTGCCTCTGGAGACACAATGGTGACAGGAAGGACAGGAATTCTTACCCAGCAAGCCCAGCATACATTAGCCATACACACGATTAAACAACAAACTAACAACCAACCAACCAAACTAAACAAGTGCTGGCTAAGACTGAAACAAGAATTAGATCCTACATATTCACTAAACAAATATGTGGGCCAGTGGGGGGATTTTAGTAACAATTATTGTGCATCAAGGGCTAGTTTAATTTACATGTTAATTGGACGTACTTCCAAGAGGCAATGAAGAAGAACATGCTAACGAGTTTTATGCAAACACCTAAAGGTCAAACAGTTAATGGACCTGGGACAAGAAAACCTTTCCTTAAATGCAAATCAGTGTTCTCCTAAATTCTGCAACAAGAAAAGGTACAGAAATCAAATAGAAAACACAAAAAAACAGAGCTCAGGTTCAAAAGTCAAAGTCTGCATCTGCTTGCAAGCTGAAAGACATTATGTTGTACATTATGATAAGATGGGAAAATAAGTTCATCATCTGGTTCATGAGTAACTCCATGGTTGCATGTTCATTCTCAAACAATTATAAACACACGGAGAAAATAGTTGGGAAGAGTTCACCAGGCACAGCCATCTGGACGAACAGTCCCACGGCATAGCTAGAGCAACTGGGAAAAAACCATTTTGGTTTCACGATCAAATTCTACAGGATAACAAAAAAAAAAACCAAAAAACCCAAACAAACCACCACCACCACCTTCACCACCAAAAAAATCGAAATTTCTCTACTCCGCCACTGTTCAGATATACAGACTTCGGCTTTGTGCCATGAAAATACTATCAAAAAAAAAAAAAAAAAAAGAAAAAGAAAGAAAAAAAGAAAAAGGCAAATGGGAAATCAAACCTCCATCAGTAACATTATACCAGAGTTACCAGAGTAGATGTCATATGATGTCTAGAGTGAATGTGGCCAAAGATACAACGTCAGTAAGTGCCCTTATGCATAAAAGTTAAAATAGTGATATTTACAGTCAGTTTAATTCATATTTCAGGCATTATTTTCTTCATCATCTAACCTAGACCAAAAAACTTCTCTTTCATTCAAAATCCCTGGAATTACCATACCAGTGTCAGGTGACAAACTAGAGGAACCTTTTCTTAAGTGAGAGACCACAAAAGCCTTGAGACCAAAAAGCAATGAAATATAATTCAGAGAAAGCTGAAGCAGGAGAACTTAACTGATAAGAAATAGTCCCCGAGGTGGTGCAAAGGAATTGATCTCACTCAGTAAGAAAATGAGTGGGCTGTGTGATGGCCACTTCTAACTTAGACATTTTACACAGAAGTGGAGGAGGAAGGAATGAAAAAAAAGAGGACCAGAGGAAAAGGGCAGGGGAGATAGACTGTTGACTGTTTTATCATGCTTGCTCTAAAAATTACCCGTTTTTCTTTCTGATTCATCCAGAAGAAAACCTCTTAGTCTTACAAGATAAGGAAGGGACAGGGAAGAATAGAACGTGAGTCTTTTGAAAAACAGGAAGGACAAAATTAGCTCAACAGCTTTTCAAAATTAACAAGGTTATCCAGAAATGTTTTATTTCCTTCATGGATGAATGTTACATCTGAAAAATAAAATAAAGGAAAAATAATTACTTGTCATGGTTTTTTGTTTAATGCAAAGCAATAAAATGACTAAACAGCAACAGAAAGGAAAAAAAAAAAAGCATCCCATTGAAGATTGACACAATACCATATAACAGTGAATAAAAGTCTGGTTTAACGATGACATGCAGAGATTATTAGACAACACTAGATACACATTGCAATGAGAGTATTTTCAAAAGGGAGCACGGATTTCTTATTGAACCTGGGCTGTGTTACTTCCAGGGTGCATAACATACAGGGAATGGTTGGGAGCAGGGGAGGGCATGCAGAAGGATGGCCCTGTAGGGCATGGCAGCTCTCCACACACCGTGGCACTGGTCCAGACACGTTGCCCGTGGCTGTGCCTGGGCTGGAGCTGGTCAGTCCCTGAGCCCAGAATTCCATGGGGGTAGAGCTACCAGATGCTGGAGTTGGCTCTGACACTCCTTCATCTCTCTCTGCCATCTGCCAACATGAAAGATCATTCTTACTGGGGAAGCCATTACCTTGGCGCTACATTTCTGACAGTTCCAGCAAGTTTTGCAATTTTTATGAAGTAGCTAATGAAACTAGGTTGGCTGTCACCTGTCTGCACTGGAAACGTTCCCTTAACATTCACATTTTCCGAAGTGGCCTGAACGCTGGTGATAATGGGGATGGCAGATTACAACGATAGTGGAATGTCAGCTCTTCGGGGCACATTGATCCAACAAAATGTAAACAGACATTTCCCATCCTGAGGATGAATGCACAGATCCTAGAGCTACTGACAACACGTATCAGTCCCTTGTGATACAGTTCCTGCTCTTTCCTTGAAACATCTGCATAATTAGCAAAAAGCTATTGAAAGAGCAATTCTCTCAGTGTCTGACTGTGCCTGCCTCAGTAGGGTTTTGGGAAATCGTAGGGGGGAGAAAGTTTGCGACCCCTTTTTCTGAAGAGAGAGGGAAGGATAGAAGAGACTTGCTTCCTCTCCACCCACTCCCCTCCCCAGTCCCAGGGAGAGGATGGAGAGACAGACAGAGAGAAGGAAGGAAAGAGGACATACCACCCGCGATACGTGCCAGCCACAGACTGACCACTTGGCTGCCACAACACTGGGGTCACACTGACACATCCATCATCAGTCAAATCACTGCTGTTAATGACAGACGGTTTTTTTAGGAGTGGAACAGCTCAGTAAGCTTTACTAAGGAAGCAAGAAATAAATTCTGCATTGAAAAAGCCCTCTGAGAGGAATATCGAGTTCCTAATTTGGAGTCCGAGAAATAAAAAATGGGAAGTATACAACACTGATCCTTACCAAAGAATCGCTTAGATCTTTTTGGTAGACAAACATACGACTGGATGACTCCAAAGATTTTGAGATAGCCAAGTCATTTGGTTCTAGTTCTTGTTTTTCTGTAAAACAGCAAACAAAACACAAAAGTTTCAGAACAGGAGTAAAAGCTATACGTGATAAAAAATGTACAATTATTTGTATTTGTAAAACCACATCAATTTCTTAGAGGGGAACAGCATGAAATTCAGTCCCAGTGGGACCCATCACCTCCCCGCTGTTCAATCACAATAAAGGCAAGATGTCTCTGAC